ACAGCAGAACCATTCCGTATAGTATATTATATATTGTTTCAAATTATTTGTTGAAGTTCTGCGTTAAAAGCTTCAACACAAAAAATTGCTATAAGTATACTTATACGTAATAATTTTGGGAGGGGGTTTAGGGATAGAAAGCTTTAGCTCACAGAAGACTACTTTGACTATTTTATGGTATCATTTTTCCTACTAAATCCATAATATTTACATAAATGACATCAATAAGTTTTTGCGAATTGTTTGTATCACGGGTGGAATCAGATAGAACTTGGAATAGATTATAATATATATATATTATCATATTATGATGAAAACATATTTAAACAATATAATCATTTATTTAATAATTGGAGTAGTGTACTAAATATGGTCTAAATAATTAAGAAATTGATGTAGATCACAGTGGTCTGTGATGTAGATTGTATAAAATACCAACTAGAATTTTAATTTTGTTAATTTTTATTTTAACCTATAGATGTTCAACACCATCGATGCTATTGAAATCACTTAAGATTTTTTTAAATATAATGTTACTTTTCAGATACAAGCCTACACCTCCACCTGCCATCTTAAAATATTATAATTAGGTACAATAATTACATTGTCCGATTTGCTGTCGTTTAGTCATGTCTCTGAGATACTCATTAAATAAATATTATTGTTAACAGTTATATTTATAAACTCCTCAAAATCAGTAAAAATTGATCGTAAGTTTAAATGAGCATTAGTTTTATAAGACAAAATAAATTCTAGACTTGAGTTGTTTAAGTAATTTTGATATTGAAGATGATTAACATTATGATTACAGGATAAGTTAAGTTTTAGTTTTATATTAAGGTTTTTGCAATTTACACCGCTAAAAGTTTGGGCTTCGCAAGCGTTTTTATCATGTGCTCCAGAACATGTAGGACAAACAGTTGTGCGATTTTTACAGTCTTTAATATGGTGACCTATTTTACAACATTTAAAAAATTTTGTTAGGCTAAAATGTTCTTGAACCATGAATCTTTTCCAAGAAATGTACCTTTATCCATAATTTAACGAGAGGGGGTATAACTTCTAGCACTACATTTGTAAGGAATTTGCTATTTTTCTTGGTTATTAACTTCAAATCATTTTGTATAAAATCTAGATAATTGTCTATTAATAAATTAGATATAAATTTAGAATCATTATTAACCATCCACTCTATAAACAATAAAAAAAACATTTTACAGCTGAGTTCTTTGCAGTCTTTTAATATATGATAATTCCCCAGTATAAAACGTATTTTGGTAATGTTTGAAGACTTCGTCGTTTGAGTGATTTAGTGTTGATTTGTGTAAGCAAGGCAAAGGGGGTGTAATTTTTAATAAAAATTTATAAAGAACAATTATTTGCGAAAAAACGGGTAAGTATTTTTATTAAAGATCAACTCCATGTCTTTAATAACAAAGGAATTTAAATACAATTGAAATTTAAACTTTCTCTAGGTGAAATAACCAAATATGCTTTGCTTAAATTACAGTTTACTAAAGATACATTATGTACCATTTTCTAAAGTTTGTGACTTTAACTATAAAAACATGAACTCCATGGACATCAACTCCATGGAGTTAAAAGGTATGTCCATGGAGTTGTTTACTTTCTTATTATTGCCCTAAACTCTTAGCTCATATAAGTTAAGGCATTATTAACTCTAATATATTAATATATACTATAGTATTATTATTATAACTATATGTATATATTAAGTTTAATTTATAGCCGCCTTGAAATTACTTTATGTTATTAAGAAATACACATTGAGGTATTATTTTGGTAGTGTTTTATTGATCTTTGCTTTTTATTTTTTTACCACCCCAATTTATCCTCGTTTTGGATATTCACCCACATACTCTATATAATAATTGTAATTGTATTGTATCGCACGCCATAAATATTAATATTATTTTAAAAGGCCCAATAACAACTAGAGAGTAATCCTACAGAATTGCTTAATTGATTAATACATTTTTGTTTTTCTTTTCGTGCTATACTAGCAATAATTATTTTCTTTAAAAAATACCTACCTAATAATGTAATTTGAGTAATATTAATTTTTATTACTGTCATTCAAAGTAAATCGATATTTTTGACGATTATGAGTTTTTAATAGCATAAGAATCGTAAATAAATTCTGGATTTTACTATGCTGAGATTTTTGAAAAAACGCACTCCGATTAAATTTAAGAACGCCTTTAAAACGTCACAGTTAAAGATTAGACATACGAAATACTTAATAAAAATAAAAATAAACCTTATGCAGTTAACGTTTTCCAGTAAGACTATTGGGCAAAGAGTTTGCTTGAAATTTTGGGTTGCCAACTTGTGAGGAGTCCTTAAAATATTAAAAAAGACTTGGTAAATTAGTTTTATTACACAGTGCAACACTAAAAATGTAAACACCGTTTTAAGTGGTGTTCTTCAAAGTACTTTATAACAGTAGCAAAACCCCAGTTGGGTTTTGCTAGTTTGTTTCCAATAAGGATTTTATTGCATTTTGAAAATTTTGACTCAGGCTTGTGTATGTTGTAGGATATATTGGCCTATTGATAACCGATTTGAATATATATTTTTTTAATTTGTAGGGTTTTTGTTAGGGATGATCCCATAAAAATTATATAAAAAAATACCACCCCTAAGGGTGAAAAATTGGCGATTAAACTACAAATAGGTCTGTTTTGAAGCTATGATACGAGATATCTTCGCCAACTGTGAACTTTTTTTTTTAATTCTTTTAATAATGTGTAGGGTATATAAATTTATTGAAAAAATCCACCCCTAAGTATGAAAAAAAAATGGAAATTAATTTTTATATTGGCATTTCATCAACTTCCCGTTTTGAAAATTGTTTCTTGGTTTAAAAGGTATATTCCATGGGTTGTCTCATTCTCAAGATGACATGATGCATTTGTTTTTCATCTTGTCGTATTGAGGTTAAATTCTTTAAATGTCATTCGTCTGAACTTGAATAATACCGTGATGACGTATCGGCCATTTCCTATCGGCCCAACTATATCAACTTCGCTTGATTCTAATTGTGAATAAAAATTTTAACAGGTGCTTAATGGACCAGATATCAGAAAGTTAACTGCAAACGATAGGTTCACAAAAATCCTTAAGAACGATCACCGGAATGCTTGGGATGCACTAAAAGCTGTAATCGAGGGCGTTTTAGGGAAGAATCGTGTGCAGCGAGACGAAGTGAAGAAATTGGTGGGCCAAATGCTCTATTATTTTTAAAAAATTAATGTATCCATGACATTAAAATTGCATTTCCTCCATTTTCACCTAGATGAATTTTTACAACAATTGCCCACTGAATCGGATGAACAAGGAGAGCGCTTCCATCAGGTAACCATGCCAATGGAAAAACGATACAGGGGAAAAAAGCTGGATGCATTGCTTGCGGAAGTATGTTAACACCAATTGGTGGAGTCAAAAAATATTCCAAAATGAAAGCACTGAAGATCCTAAGGAGACTGAATATGGAGACGCTAAAAAAAATATGCCGCTGAATCTTCCCGGATGCTCGAGATCTTTAGAAGCGTCAATGGCAATGGATATTGATTAATTATACCTAGTTAGATTATAATGTAACACATTTTTGAATATTTTTTTCACATTTTTTATAAGAATAAATATTTTATTTGATTTAAAATTAATTTAAAAACAAAACTCTTCCTACATTCAGCTTCCAAAACCACAACACCATGTCATCTTGTCTTAGTGAGAATGGGACAACCCTTGGTATATGTTTTTAATCCAAGAAACAATTTTCAAAACGGGAAGTTGGTGAAATGCCAATATAAAAATTAATTTCCATTTTTTTTTCATACTTAGGGGTGGATTTTTTTCAATAAATTTATATACCCTACACATTATTAAAAGAATTAAAAAAAAACAGTTCACAGTTGGCGAAGATATCTCGTATCATAGCTTCAAAACAGACCTATTTGTAGTTTATTCGCCAATTTTTCACCCTTAGGGGTGGTATTTTTTCATATAATTTTTATGGGATCATCCCTAACAAAAACCCTACAAATTAAAAAAATATATATTAAAATCGGTTATCAATAGGCCAATATATCCTACAACATACACAAGCCTGAGTCAAAATTTTCAAAATGCAATAAAATCCTTATTGGAAACAAACTAGCAAAACCCAACTGGGGTTTTCCTACTGTTATAAAGTACTTTGAAGAACGCCACTTAAAACGGTGTTTACATTCCATGACCTCAAAAATGTTGCACAGTGTTATTCAAAGAAGGTCGCATGTGAAGATTTGCTTTGTTATATCAAAATTCAGGTGCGCTGTGAGACGAGAGAGCACGGTTAAACCATTGATTATTTACTGAACGGTTAAACTAGGAACTAACACAGCACGAGAATTTTTAAATCTTGAAACATCAACGAAACCTAATGCACAATTACAAAATACCTCGCTAAAAGGTCAAACCTTGCGATATTGTCCAAAAATACAGATAGGTATATGCCTATACTAAGACCGCACACTGCGAGCCTTATATATTAACATCACACCGTCAAAATCAAAATTTCAACAACAAAAATATCAGTAATTAATATATCAATATTAATATCAACATAAGTAATTAATATATCCTCGGATTGTATTGTAAATTAATTGCAAAACTACAGTATACCCGCTGAATAACGTACTCCAAGTCCAAACATAAACAAAAAATTTAATTTTGTTACTTGTATATGTTCATAACCCCCCAATTAGCATTTTTAGTAGATGAAACGTATCGGCCACGTATACTTGGAACTGTAAAGTGTATTGCTAAAATCTCTTCCACTTAATAGAAACGGCTCTATAACGTGGAAGTGACTAAAATGGGAAACACTTTTTATTTGAAATGCAATGCCTTTAAATTATAAAGTAGGTACATGATATGTTAAATTGATTAATAAACTTTTTTCGTAGCATCAAATAAATTAAATCAAACGTTACCTGGAATATGAAACTCTGCTGTTCGTTTTGATCTCCCTTCGAACCCGTTGCCTTGAATTAAAGTAGGTCTTTTTAAGTTAGCCTGAAACAAAAATTAAAAATAAATGATAACTTTGAAAACATGACTATCAATCTCTGGTTAAGTTCCAGGGAGTCTATCTGACAGTTAAATTCCATATCGATCGTTGTGAGAACAATGGTAACCATGGAAATTATCTACCAGATAACTAATTGCAAATTTAACTGGACATTGATAAAACGGCCCTCATCGTGTTTATCGTTTTTTTAATTATATATTTACATTAAAATGCTTTATTAAAAAAAACAAAAAATGCAGCAAAAATCCTTATTTTTTGTATATAATATAACCATATTATGGTACTTATACAAAGTTTAATACAATTCCAAATATGTCGAGTAGCTTTTGTGTTATAATAATTTTTAAAATCAAAATTATATTTTTTGTTTTAAGGCTTATTTTAAACGTATTGAAATTAATTTTCAAATGGTGGTGAAAAATAAACCATGTTTGCTCAGTATTAAGTAAGGTTTAAAATTGGATCACTTTGTTTTGGCAAAATGATTATTAATTGTTCAACTTTTTATTGCAATGCGATTCCGGTTTGATCTATTCGAAGCCCAACAGAAAATTGTTTTTTTTTGGTGGCGCATTTTTTGATAAATGGCTTTGTTAGTAGGCAAACTTGCCGTTATTGGGGTGAACAAGCGATACACGAGTGTTTGCTGAGGGTTATAGTCGATGTCGATATTGACCAATTATTTTTTCTCAAAATTTTATGATATCGCTATGGACAACCTTTATCTTCACCCAAGTGATATGATTATTATCTATGATATTTTCGAATTGAAAACGAGCTGCAGATTGCTATTGACTGTAATAAACTTTGTAATTCCAATTCCAACTTGAATGATACCAACCGAAAAAGGACAATTAAAATTAACTCCTGCCACACGAAATTATAATATATCGTCGGGTTACTGCAAAAACCAGATCACTCCCAAAGCAATAACTTGGGTCTTTTCACTAAAAATGGAGTAATACCATTTTTGTTGCGCTTGACATTAATTTACCGATTCTGTTATGCTCGTAGTTGAATTGTCTTGTCCTTGCAGACACAATGATAAATTAAAAAATGGAGTAACTTGACGATATATTATGTGATCGAATTTAGAATACAAAGAAACAACACACAAATGACTTCAAACAACAAACCAGCGCAGTGGAGTAACTATAGAAATGGGGGCCCCAGTCGGATTTTCTCTAGGGGGCCCTTACCAGTAATTTTTTATAATGGCATCGTTGCTTAGAAAATGAATATTTTCATTGGCAAGGAAAAACACGAATGTGAAGTGAAATTTCTTTGTGAAAAGTGACAGGTCTGTGTAAAAAGAAATTGATAGCATCATTTGACATTCGTTTCAAAAATGTCTAAATATCATTTAGAACACAATTAATTGTGTTTGTATAATAAATTCCAATTTAAGTGCCTTTAATTAAATTGAGAAGTTAAGTTTATTGATTTTAAGTAAATAAAAAAAATTAAAAGAATAAGATGACAGTAATTTTAACACGTTTTTAGGTTATTTTGTTTTGTATTTAAATATAATAAAAAATAAAAGGGTCGTAGAAAAACATTGAGTTTCACTTGTGAGAAAATCTTTCTTTAAGCTCGTGTGCCTGAAAGCCTCGTGAGCAACTTAAACACTCGTATGAAAAAGTCGCTTTTCAACACTTGTAAAACAAATAACTATTACGCAGCTAAGGCTCAATAGTGATAATAAAAACTTTGAAATTAGATTAAAGTACAAACCTAAATCGACAAAAATATTAGAAGGTACCTTAATAATTTTATTGTAAAGAATAGGTCCATTAAAAAAAATATTTTATAATATCTAAACAAAAAATTATTCTTTTTTATAGACATCTTTATCACTTCCTCCTGAATCATGAGTTTTTGCAGCCGCATAGCTGTTTTTTGGTAATCTAAACTCTTGGCGACTTTAATTTATTGTAACAGAAGAATATTTTAAAGAACAATATTGTATCTTTTGCCATTTCAAAGTTTTTGCAATTAATAAATATCTGCGGTATTTTCGACCAGGGTGCGCCTTTTTGCTGGTTAAGAAATATAAAACCCAACCTTTAAAAAATATCAATTATTAAATTTGTAAACTGCTACTCAATAAAAAAATTTAATTATTATAATAGGAATTTTAACCTTTAAAGATTTAATTATCTGGTATTGATATAATTCTAATGCAAAAGCGAGTGATGCGTATTTTATACAAAAAAGGTATTAAACAATAAACACTTATTTGTGGGATACAAACCAAATTAATTAGTAACTGTCAGGTTCTTTTCCGCCACTGAAGGTTCTTTTCCGCCACTGAAAGTTCTTTTCCGCGACTTTCATGCATTTTGTAAAATCCCTTTTTAAACTGCAGCAGTAATCTGCCATTATGTGCTGATCGCATCTTTATTGGTAGCGGTCCCTCATAGTTTTAATATTCTGGTAAAGTCCAGGCCAGCTGGCACAGGCGTTTCCAGTCCAGGCCCTTCGCTCAGCCTTATTAATCGAATTCACAAAGGCAGGATCCTTAATGAGTTTTCTTATTTGTACTTATTTGTAGAAAATCAAATATTCCTGCTTTAAGTTTTTTAAAGCTTTTCCCCTTTATATATGTAAAGCATGATCCGCTCTTATCAAGAGCGGAGGAGTGGAGGAAGAATGATTTTCTCTTGTTCAACTAAGGGGTCATTAATGATATTATTTTCCCCAAATTTTTCGAGGAGTCCTCTAATATCGTGACAAAATCCAAGATTGTCTTCTTGAGAGAAGAAAGGTAGCAGACCGTTTTCCCTTGATGGAAATCCATTAATTACGCGAGATCCATCAAATCTCATTTTAAGGGAGGGGGGTCATTTAAAATCTCACGTCAACTTTTGAGTTTAAAGAATATGTATACGTATATATATATATATATATATATATATATATATATATATTTATATATATATATATATATATATATATATATATATATATGTATATTTATATATATTATATTAAAATTTGTTTCTCTTTCTTGGGGTCATTTAACTTATCTTGTTTAAAACGTTGTGGAATTTATGACATCCCCTCATTATCACTGTCACTTTTATGATTAACAATAGAATGATCAGAGGTACAATACTTATCCTCGCAGAGCTCTGGTAGCTGTTGAAACTTTGGTGGTACCTCCTCTGAGTGAGGGACCGGGCGTCTTTCAGAGATTAAAAAAGGATAAGTCTACTAGCTACGGTTGTTTCTATTAATTCCAATAATATTTACTAGACAGAAATAGCAGTCATCGAAGTGGTTTTGAGGTTCTCTCCAAACTATTGGAATACCGAATTTCTAAATTTTCCTTTTCCCAGTAGTCCACTGTCGTAAATGTTCTACACGTTTTGCAGACCTGATGCGGTGCTCAGGTTTTATCTTGATTACCAAGCCTAACACGTAACACGTAAAAAATACAGATCTAAAAAAGTAGAGCTGTTAGAACTGATTTCATATTTGGATTCAGCGACTCAAAATTAACTAATAGCAGTTTTAAAATCCTAAGCACCAATTTTTTTTTGTTGACCTGTGTAATAGTTCAATTCTTCTATTTTTCTTTGACGCTTTTTACTTAAATTAAATACTTTGTAGATATTTTATAAAAATAATAATTAATATTATTTCTACAGAAAAGCTCCTATAATTTAAGTTTCGAAAAACGTTTTTCTAATAAACTTTTACTTCAAAACTACCCATATCCATGCTCCTATACTAAATTTACATACTCTTTAACCATAAAATATTGTAAGGTATAAAAACAGGTTAAAAGGAAAATTAAATAAATATTTGCTTTTCATTTGCTATTATAGGTATTCTCTATTTTTATACTAAAATGTTTTGTATAAAATAATAATGGCTAACAAAAAGATGACAATTAATTTTTAATTACTTTATAATAGTTTACAATTTGTGTTTCAAATCAACAATATTATAATATTGTTGAATTGAAACACAAATTGTAAACTATTATTATCATCTGCAGATAATCTTGATTTGGTTGAATTTTAATGATATTTTTCTTTTTCCTATTAAAATTAATTTGAATTCTCCAATCGTTGATTCAATAAAAATGACATAGGTATATGTGTTTACCGAATCGATTAAAATAAGTTTTAGACCGATTCTAGCAATCGTTTGAAATATGTTTAGGTTTTAAGATATTTTCTACGTGAACACAGCCGCAACTCTATAGAGTTGTCACCTAAGCTTAGTAAATTTCTTTAAAGGTTCTCAAGGACCTTATTCCTCATTGGACTATCGCCAATCGGAGGGTTAATACGTAATTATAATCGTAATAACACTACTGAACAAATAAAAAAACTGCCCACTGAAAGCAGAAGTTTAAGATATAGTCTATTTCCATATTTTCCATACTAAAATATCTTTGACTGTACTAGTTGGCGGATTTTAATTTTTTAGATGAAATTAAGGCTAAATTAATTCTCCACTATTAATATATTTAACATTTTCCTAATAGGAGCGCGATCTGCACAGACAGTCTGTGGCGATCTGTCTATAAATGTGTCTACAGAGCAGTTTATGTTGGTAGTGCTCAAGCATAGTACTTAGTACCATGATGCTCAAGAGTGTTCTGAGATTTTTATAGGTAAGATTCATTTAAACAAATTTTATAGAGATGACCCTGGACGTTTCACAAGTACTATTATTGTTGGTAATTTTGTCCCGTTGCCGCTCAGTTTTTTATGGGAGATGAATTTCCTCCATTATTTTGACCAATTTTTTTAAGCTATGTATTTTTCTGAAATGAAAATGATGGACCTTTTCTTCTTTCTCAATAAAACTATAATCGCAGAGTACATAAAAAGCTGCTATAAACACTAATTGTATAGGAAAAAAATGTATACCTTTGTAGGCCAAAATTTTAAACCGTTTTCCACCTTCGCATAGTGGTCGGAAAATGGGGAAAAAGCTGGCCAAAATTGAAAAAATCAATGTGTTT